TTGGTGTGGGGGTCCTCTTCTTGGAGATTGGAGCTAATTTTACCTGCGTAGACCCTAGACAATTACAAAAGGATTCGCTGGGACAAGAGCATAGAATCGAAACAAAAAGACTACTCGTCGTCTACCAACAGAAATGCTGTAGCAGCATTCCTAGGGTGTGAACCACCATTGAGTCCACAGTCTTTCCAACTATTCCGCAACTAAGGATTTGACATAACGACACTAGGTCAACCATAACAGAAACAGTCTTGGAAGGCTAAGGGCGCAGTCCATGGTCTGCCCGTATTTCCACAAGCCTCCCGCCTTTCAATCAGGCAGCAATTTTATGATGGCCATGTCTCTGGCCAGGCCACATATACGCCTGCTTTCAGCGCCAAGCGTCCGTGGAAACAAAGAGCTGGAACCTGCAGTAGCACGCCGCTGCCAGCAAGTTTCATTCTGAAGATCGATCTGCGCGCATACCTCACAAAAGGGGCTCACGTCATTATCGGTCCGATGTCTTTGCAACCTCTCAAGCACGGTTTGGTTGAATGCACATGACACGTCTATGGACGTTTGGTGAGAGGTGTTGGTCAAAGACGGAGGCGTTTGCTAGCAGCTAGCGGTATTTCAGCTTGTGCTTCACGCGCCTTCAGAACACATCCCCCCGAGAATGTATACTTTGCTTCCCCGAACACACCCAGACCGGACAATAGACCAGCAGCCGGCCACTCTGAGTCTGGATGACGCGGCCCGCAATCGCGGTTGACCCGCCCAGTGGGTCATAACCAGCGCCCTCACCTGAAAAGCAACAGTCAGCGGGCAAGCCTGAAAACATGAATTTGGAAGTTCAAAAGTTTCCAAGTTTCTGGTGGCCCTGAGAGCTATTTGTTCCCGGTTACCTGTTAGAGTGCCTCTTTGGCAATGTTCCGACCCAGCGGAAAAAGATGTTTCTGCAGCAGGCATTCTGAATCAAGACGTTTTGCTTTTTTGGTGCAGTTGCTGAAAACTCTGCCTCATCTTCCTGAGCATTTGGGCGGTGGGGAAAACAAGCTGGGTGGACCGAGCTGTTGGACGACGTGACTTTTGCGAGTCATGCCTTCGATGATGAAGCACTTACGTGATACCGCTGCTTGGGCATCACAGAAAGCAACTGGGTGGAATCAAGTAAAATGACCAACGCTCCACATAGTCCGGGAACCCCGCTGCCGGACACAGAAGCCAAATTAAATTCTCGCACTCATAGACCATGGCTTGGCCATCAGAGTGACAAAACCCTAGCGGACGCTTGGCGACACTCTGCTACGGGAAGGCCTGAGATCGAACGAGAAGCCGTTCCCGCTCCTGAGCAGCCTCGGCGGACAGAGTGTGCAAGCTGGGCTTCTCATAGCAGATCACTCTCTCCTTGTTTTTGCGGCGCCTTTTTTGGGGCGGCTCTTCGGCATCTCCACCCTCAACCTTGCACAGCAACCCGTGCCCCGCCAATTCTTCGCAAATTTGCTTGATCTTGTCTGCTTTTGCGAGCTCCTGCCGTGATAAGGACCATTTTTGGGAGGTGAAACTTACAAGGCCCCACCTGTGACATGCGCTACTAATTTAATGCGAGGTGTGAGACGCAACACCCATCCTTGGTCTTTTTACTGTTGCGGTACTTCAACCTGATGGCATTGGTGCTGAAGGCGCCGGACATGTCTGTGAGGATCCTGTATTTGAAGTAGTCGTCCCCCTCCAAGCCTGAGTTGGTCACAAATACATGCACATTTGCGGGTCCTGGTGCCTATGTGCAGTGAAGGCACCTTCTCCTGCAACATAGTGAGCTTTCTGCGCCTCCGCGGACTTGGAGCCTGCAGCTAGTTCCATGAGAAGCTTGGCCCCAACACGCTGCATCCACTGGAGGTAGCAAAAGTGGAGGCAGATTTGCCTCCTCCAGTTGTGGAGAGCGAAGCAAAATTCATAAATGGATGGGCTGGTTCGGGGTGGCCTGGAAGAGTCTCCCAGCGCTATGCTGTGGAGGAAATTCACTTTCCTCATGGCAATATGACTGGCGCGCAGAAGGTCTGAATGTCTGAAATCAATTTTGGCCTCGACGTACTGGTCCAAATCAGTGTGTTCTGCTTTGAAATCTTCACAGGCCTTTTTGCAGCACTCGTAAAGGTGCAGCGCGTACCCATCCAAGACGTGCTTGTGTTGGGCACTGTCCTCTTCATGGTAGAAGAAGTGGTCAAACATCCACGTGTGAAGCTTGGCCACCAAGGTCAATGCACTTTGCACCGGCGCAGAATCGTCATGCTGCAAGCCTTTTGGTGTTACGGCGAACCAGAAGCGCTTCTGAAAGCCGTGCGTCGCGGGCTTGAGGATTGTATCGATGACTTCCTGCAAGCATGTGGGCAAAGGTTTTGGGTTGACGCATACTAGGTATATAGTGTATATGGCGACGTCAAACAAGGTGCTTCGGTCCTGCTGCCCGGAGATCTTGTGCAGCATAAGGTATGGGTGGTCTGCGTCCCCCAAGTGGGTGTCTACCCCTGCAGTAATAGCATCGTCCATCTCGCTCTGAGTGAGTTTGTTCATCACATGCTCCGGCAAATAGTGGACACCTGGCCGACGACCAGAAAATGGTGTCTCATACACTGTGGAAGCTTCCCCGCTTGAGACAATTGCCCTGCCGTAGGTCTTCAAAGCCTTGCGTATGCCTGCCAGGGTTGCATCCGAAAATGTGATTTTCCTTTGCTTGATGTACCCCGGCTTACCCTCTGCATCTGCGAGAAACCCGTCGGTGAGCTCGGTGATGTGCGATTTGCGAGCAGAGACCGCGGCACCCAACATGACGGAAGGATTTGGGGAGACCCCCCTGTGGGTGCTGTCTGGGGAATGAAGGAGGCGAGTGGCGTGGTGCTCCATGAAGCCAATGTTGGCATCCAATGCCAAGTTGAGCGACTCAGGGCAAAGGCCATCGTGGAGGGCAATGGCCTGCATCGCGCGGACCCATGGAAGTGGGCCACACAATCGCAGATCAAAATCCTGCGTCGCCAGATCTCTATGCGACATTGTTTGGGCGTCCAACCATGCTTGTTGCAGCCATGCGTGGATGGTGGAGATGGTATCCTGCTGGCTGCTCATCCCGTCGAAGAGGTTCGGTGGGAACATGCGCTGGTTGATGTCCTGCACATTGGAGAGACCAGCCAAAGAAGAGAGAGCCTGGTGGACAAAGTCTGGCTGCTCTGCCCTTTGCTGCTCCCTGTTGGCAACAGCATCTGAGAACTCGAAGTGGAAGAAATTGTCCACCAGCTTCGGCCCTGGAGAATCACTCTGCCCACTGTGCTGCGTTGCAGCTGTGGGTGGGGGACTCTTAGTCTCCGGGTCCTGACACGAACTGTGGCCAACGCAGGCGCAAACATGCCTGAAGGAAAAAAAAGGTACAGTAAAGTCATTAAGTGAAATTCCAAGACCTCGTGACGCGCTGCTGCCCGTTCTGGGGATTCCCCCTGCTGCAAAGCTTGCGCCAAAGTAGCAGCATACCCGGGAGATTCCTCCTCAGGCGGCGTGCTGTTGACTTGGTAAGCATCTTCTGCCGCCGCGGGCGCTTCCTGGACCCAAGTTCAAGTGTGCCTCATGATTCAATATCGTCCAAAAAAAGTGCCTATATCGATCCCGGGTAGAGACCCCGAACAGTGTGTGTGAGGTCTAGAGGCGTAGCAGCAGAAACTCTAGAGATCTCGCATTGGGGTCCAGAGCCCTTAACACCTACCGTAACAACCCCTCAGTGTGACCACACTGTTTGGGGAATGATGGGAATGCTGGCAATGAATTCGGGAAGCCTTCTCTGGCTTGGCGAGCCTTACCAAGAACGAAGCAAAGTTAGTGACAAGAAGGGCAATGCGCTCAACTTCAACTCCTCAACAGGGCGCAACTCAACGAGCGTACAAGGTCAAGTAGATGGCGCAACTCAAAAAGCCTGTGCCATGCTTTTTTGTTTTGGAGTATACCCGTTTTCCTTTGCGCAAGTGGCTCGAAAATCAGAAATATTGTTTTCACACCACACCGCTCCCAAACAACTGGAGGCAGTATAGGGATATCTGTCCAAACGTTGCCGCCAACATTGGCAATTATTGCTTCAAAGTTGCTGCCCAGAAAACATGAAAAAAGACAACATATTTGTGTTTAGTTTGGGTGGGGTGCCCAACCTGGGGACGCAATAGTTCGCAATGCTGGGTTGCACAAACTGCTCTTCGTGGCAGCAAATGTTTTAGGCAGCTTCTTGGACATTGTTTCCCTTTTTTTAACCTTGCCCTTCACCTTTTCCTCCCTCAACTCCTTCCCGGAACAAACCAGGACAACTGACCAGCGCTCAGCCGCTGTGAGCCTGGACATGGAACTGTGTTTTTGCATTGCAATTTGTTCAACGGTTTCGCTGTCCACGGGGCTTTGAAAGGTAGGGCCCATGGAACTGTCTTTTGTCAGGATGCCGCACACAAAATCGAGCTCAAAGGATGCAGCTGTACAATGCCCACACTCCGCTCAAGGCAAATACGCCCTGATCACGAGCTAGGAATTATCCTATCCACGTTGCGTTCATAGCTCATGGTGGCTGTGACAGCAAACTGCAGGACGCTAATCGAGGCGTCGCGTGGCCGTGTCCGGCTAGTTCGTTGCTATTTACAGTACATTCATGCCTCTCGAAATCCTCGAAGCGCATTTCGACTGCGCAGGCTCGCAGAATCTGGGTGGCCACGGCGGGTGTAAGAGAAAAAAGAGAGGCGTGGGCAAAATGTCACAGCACATGGTCCGTGTCTTAAAAATGAGCGAGACAGTCCTGTGGGGCCATGAAGCTCCAAGTCCGTTGCGGAGCTGCGCGACGTACTTCCACTCCGCGTTCGGACCACAGAAACATGGCTACATAGAGAAAGCAACACATTCAAACTCAATCACAGTGTTCATTTCCATGGCGACAATGGAAAGCACTACTTTTCTGGGAAACGCAAATTCTGCTGTCTTGGCACTGGCTTTGCCACTACACAAACTTACTCAGACTCTTCACCGGGGTTGCCATAAGGAGTGATCCATTCAGCTCCTAATTGCTGGGTCCACAAAAAAAGTGCCGGGGCCAAGTCTGGTCCTCCAACACGCGGGAAACCTTGCTTATTCTTCGGGTTTCTTGCACTTTGCAGACTCCAGAAGCTCTTCCATGGGATGGGTTCGCCTGCGGTCAGGTTGCACACGCTAGAGAAGGTTATGTAGTCAAAGCTTTGAGCGACATTGAGGTAACTCTCCAGGTCCGCTCGTAGCGACTCGTCCAGGTGGTCAAGGACACCGCTGCTGAGAATGTCTCTGCACCCTCGCACAACCTTTCCGGCGCACACTCCTATGGCCATGATGTGCTGGGAGTCCCCCAACACTACCCACTCACCAGCCTGCGCAAATTTCATTGCGTTCAGGCTTTTGGATCGGTACCTTTGCGTTTCCACCCACTTAAGTCCTTGCGCCATGGCCCGAGCCCACTTGGTGTGCAAGACTCTCATATGCACCTTGCCTAAGAGGAGTACGACAGGACGAGGTTGCTTTACATGTGTCTGACAACGAAGAAGAAATTGAATAGGAAATGGTTTTTGTTGGGGCCTAGGCACTGGGGAACTGGACGCCAAAGGCTTCTTCGACAAGCTCCGGATCCCAAAAAACCGCGCTTGCGGATGCGCCTGTGTCTGCGGCGAGGTCTCCTTCACCCTCGGCCTCAAGCGGCACCGTGCTGGCGAGATTTGAAGGAATCTCGTCTAACACACCATCCATGTTCGACAAACATTGGGCCAGAGCAATAAGGCCGTCAAGCTTGTGTGAAAGCAAGGTGTCGTTGTCCGTCCAAGAAGGCATACTTCCATGATGATAATGACTGTACATCAACCGAAGGAAGCACAAGTTGGAGAGCATGTCGAACCACTGCATGGAGATACGTCGTGCTTCTTGCGGGAGCATGGACTTGATGTGGCTCCACTTTTGCTCCACTGAGATGGTGCCGCTGACCACAGGCACACCTGCTTTATGCAAACCACGGGCTACTAGCGCCCACTTCCAAAGACCTTCTTCCTTCAGCGGAGTTTTCAGCTGCGCGTAATGTTTCTTCACTTTAGCAGTGAACACTGTTGGGGCTCCAGGAAGTAGGGCAGCGCTGTCGTCTCGAAGATCCTGTACACGGCGGAACTTCCTGCGCCCAGGTTCGTACCATGACCTCATCCTGGCAATCTCCTCGCGAAAGTCTTGTTTCTCCGGATACTGCCAGGGGCCATTGGTAGGACTCAGCGAAACATCCAAGCGCCGCGCAATGCGGCAAAGAACGCCTCGCAGCGGCTCAGCTTGGAACAAACTCAGCCATTCATCAGACTTGTGGACATACGGCTGTTGCATAAACCGCCTGAGGCCCTTCACATCTTCATGTTTGTTTTCCACCGGCAATGTCAGACCTCCATCAACCGCAGCTCGTAGCAGGTCCCGCTGACTGTCTGTCAAGGTCATGTCGGGCCTGGAAAATGTTGGAAGATCCAATGGGCAGGGCTCAGTGCTGAGGCGGCCCAACAAATCTCTGTGGTCGAAAATAAAGTCCATGTAGTCGCAGGCATCCGTCCTACAGGCGGAAAAGTTCTCAAATTAGATCTTCCCTGGAGGCCATGTTAGTATTGGAAAGAGGGAAGGCTACTATATGTCGTGGAACCGTCCTGGTCACCCTCCTCAAAGCAAACAAATCGTGCTGCGGGTCTGCTGTCACAGTCACCATGGCAGCAACTGGGGACTGGAAATCTCCCAGCAAGCGCGTGCCATCGGCGTTCGCCTTCGGAGTAGCATGGGCACTTGTGATCTGGAGGGTTTGGAAGTGTTTGACATAGAACTGGGTCAGCTTCTTCCTGTGCTTGCCATAGGAATCCGTGGAGTGAAAGACTGGGACAGTGTCCGCAGCAGATAGACCGTGCTCTTGGCGCACTTGCTGCATCCTTTGGATCCACGGCTTGAAGTCACGCTCAATCTCTGGCATACTTTCGGATTTCGCCAGAGATATTGGTTTCAGCAAGGACCCGTCAGCACCACACCATGCAAATGCGACCTTATGCACCCTTATCCACCTTTGGTCCTGACAATCAGGGTACGATGTTGGCAATTCAGCGTACAATAGCATACAGAAGTTAAATGTGCGTCTGTGGTACACATCGGTGGCAAGGTTTTGTACGACGTCGTAGGCTTTGGCCCTTATTAAGTCCTTGTATTGGCAAACTTGCAGGGGCAAGTCAAAGTTCCCAACAAACCTGATTCCCTGACCATTCATCAGCATTTGCCTGACGTGTTGGTATTGGGTTCAAAAGGGAAGCTGGGCTGGCAAAATAGAGGACAAACTAACCATTTCCCCAAAACAACAGAAAAGGAGGGCGCAAAAATTGCAAACTTCAACCAGCGCACCAGTCTACCAACACCTCGACTCTGCGCCGAACAAAGCCCTCAAAGAAGTTAAAGAGGATGGCCTTCAAAGCAGAAGGGTGTGGCACCGCTGACAAACCCCACATGAGAAAGTCTGGCGAAGGTAAGTTAGCGCTCATAGCTAGCAGGTTCGCAGCGTAGAGATCTGCAAGGCGTCGCCGGACCTGTCGGACATTGAGTTTCTCGTACCAAGCTTGCAGAAGATATACAAGGCATAATGGGGAGATCAGGATGAGACCATCTTTTGCTGTCCTCAAGACGCGGGCCTTGGGACAAATTTCCTGCGCAGCTGCGGCCAAGTCAGCATCTGTGATGGAAAAATAATTTGGTCCAGAGTCCAGCGTGTCTTGCGCCTCCTGTTCCCCGCGCAAACAAGTGTGGCATCTGTGGGGTCTTGCTTCTATGGGCACGGGAGTGGGTAGGTGCAGCAAGAACCTCACGTCACCCCTGTCACGTCGTGGCTTTACAACATGACCCGGGCGCAAGGTCACATGGTGTTTGGCGGCTGCTGGCGTGGCTTGGCAAATGTCGGTCTTGTAGGTTTGGGGGGGAGGGGGTGCGCAGGCTGCTCTTTCTGTAGCTCTGCGACTTTCGCTGCTTGCGCCACCATTTCTGAGAGCTCTGGAATAATGTTCCCACGTACGCGAGGAACTTCTTCAAAGAACGCTTGCCTAGATTGCACTGCGGTAGCCCGAAAGTGGAAACCAATTTGCGTCAGCTCTGACTGCCTCACAGTTTCAGCGGGGCCAAGGTAGTAATGAGTCCCTGTTCCAGCCTGGCTCGTTTGTTTACACAGCGGTGCCACATCTGCCTGAAGTACTCCCCTTCGTGTGAACGCTTCAAGAATCAACACCCAAGAAGAAAGGTACCTAGCAGACAGGCCCTTTGCCGGCTGCACAGGGGCTGTGATTGGTGCACTTGGCAGCGGCATCAACACATGAAAAGACATGAGTTTCAAGCAAACTTCCGGAGACCTTCCTTTCAAAAGTCGGTCTCGGAGACTGTCTGCCGCTGTGTAATCATCTAAGGTCTTGCACTCCGAGCGCTCCGCAGGCTTGGGGTCTTCAGCTGGGCGCGCGGCTGCTCCCAACTTCGAAACCCGCCCCCGCAGCTTGGAGACACCCACCATTCGCGCCAGTTTGTTCTGCCTCAGCTCTGGTCTGGCACTAGTCTCATCCACCCTCTTTCTTTTCCTGACGACCCTCTTAGCCGGCGATGGCAACCGTACCGCTGCCGCTGCGTTTCGCCGGATCATTGGAGCATCCATGGCTCCACCCTTCCTGCCCTGTTGGTTGGTGTGCGGTCGCTGACACTTTCTGAGGTTGCTCTGAGGACATGGGGTTGGTCATGAACGAAGTCCACTTATGAATTGACCTGAAGTCGCTCGAACTTGGATTTCAACAAGGATGTTTAGCGTGAGCCCATAGGCGGAGCACACGTAAAAAAAGATTTGCTCTTCTCCTTGAAGCATTCGAATTTCGAGGGCAACCTGACTAGAACCGAACAGTGCTATACACATTCACGTAATAACAAATTACATCTACCGGGTTGACTTGTACTGCCGCTCAACCTCGGCTTCTCTTGGCACTGCGGACGCGCCTGCGGCGTTCCGTACCCATCTCCCGCAGCCAATGGCACCCCATTCCATACCGAAGACCTGCGACAGCGCAACGATTGGCGCGAGCAAGGCGGGCTCCCGAGCAAGGCGGGCTCCCTCCAAGACTTTAGCGCCCAAACTAGACACATGACTAACGAAACCATTGCCATCATTGGAATATGAAGAGCAACTATGATTTCTGCAAAGGTTTTTGGAGGAAAGATGGCACGTGGCTGCAGCGTTCACCCAAAAGTGCACAAGAAGCGGTTTGGTGAAGGCAATCTGCGCGCCAACTTGAAATATCAATGTCAAAAGCGCAGTGGCAACAAACCTACAAACCCGTGCAGGAGGGAATTGTGGGTCTCATCAAGCCTGACACCGGCGGGTAGCAGGCGATCGGCCGCCTGGGTCGCCTTGGCCGCGGAGGAGTTGCTTCTCCAATTCAGCCTCCACTCTCCATCCTCAAAGATCAGGCGTTGATTTGAGCGACTGGGTCTGCTTGGTGTGAGACTGTGGGACTTGCCAAGACGGACTGAATACCGGCCATTGTGGTCCCAAGGGTGGACATGGGATCCTGAGTGGGAACTGTGGAGATGGAATGGCCTATAAGGAATTCATGCAGCGCGCACGCCGCTCTGAAATGAGTGGGGAAAGGGGGTCAGCAAAAATCGCTTAGACGAAGTTAGTGCATCAAAAATACCTTCCACGAAGTTCTGCGAAGGTTTCTGGAATTTCTTGCAGTCAGTTCTCCTACTGGCCCACCATTCCACGAACTGTCCACGAATAG